GTGGCCATGTTGTTTCTCTTCCTCCCCCACTATGAATGCTCAGTGTTGGTGAGATGTGGGCCCCCTTCTTGATTCTCCCTGAACTACTGCATACTTTCCCAGGGATTCAAGCTCATTTTATATATTATTTTGGAGGTGCTGAGAATTCATCCAACAAGGACTCATACTCTTGGGAAGTGTTCCACCACTGAGCAACATATTCAACCTATATAAAAGTATACCAGTGACTCTCAAAACTTACATCTCTATCCCAAATCTTTCCTTGAGGTCCAGGGTAATATCTTTTTCTGTTTGAAAAAAAATTTTTTTTAAATGTATTTGTACAGGGACTCACTATGCAGCTTAGACTTGTAATGATGCTACTGTTTTCAGCCTCCCCAGTGCTGGGATTGCAGGAGTGTGCTACCATGCCTGGTCTTGGTGGCTGGCTAGCGACTTGTGGTGCCAGGGATTGAACCCTGGTCCCTGCATGTGCCTAAACAGGTGATTAGTCTGCTGAGCTATCTCGCCGGCCTTTCTGATTTGAATTTTTACAGACACCACAAACTTGACAGGCTCTAAAGGTAGCTCTTGATTTTAACCCTGATGTTGGCCTGCAAGGACCCATAAACCAATTAGGCAAAAGAGCAGTTGTTGAACTGGGTGGATATATTTGAGGCTAGGGATACTATTTCACTAAGAGGTCCTGTCCCTGATGGGTGAGGGCTGTTAACCAGGCAGTATATTTAGGATAGCCATTTCCTTCATTTCTCTTGCCCCTCCTTTTCAAATCAGTATCTCATTATGTAGCTCAACATTTGAACTCACCATGTAGTCCAGGCTGGACTCAAGATCTTTCCTCTTTACCCAACTTAGTGTTGGGATTATAGGCATGCACCACCATGCATGATTTATCCAGCACATTTAAAAGGAATGAAATGGACAGAGAAGAAAAAGAATGTTTAAGTTGTTCCTGTCCACACGCCACTGTCCTAAAGAGCATAAAGTAGGTCTGTCTGTAGCACTCCAATAAATTCCTCACCTAACTTAATGTTAGTTGAGTGGGTATCTTCATTTTCTACCAAATGTTAAGACACTTGCTACTTAAGATAATTTGGACTAGTTCCTAAATTATTTCTGTTCAGATTATGATGGAGGCTATACTAAATCCACAGATAACTTAGGGAAAAATTTCACCCCTGTTATGTGTCACCATGTGTGGTGGTGCCCATCTGTTATCATAGCACTTGGGAGGCTGAGGCAAGAGGATCGTCATGAATTTGAGGTCACCCTGGGCTACACAGTGAGTTTAAGGGCTGCCTGAACTACATACAAAAACCCTATCTCATCCCCCTTCACCCCCCAGAAAAAATATTATGTGTCTATAAAATGAAAAAGACTTCACTATTTATGTCTGTTTTCCTAATTTCCTTTTAAAGAATTTTTATGTTTTAAACTTTGAATCACTAACCTTGTAAGAAAGGAAACTAGTACAGATATAGGTACAGATATACTAACATGGAACACAACAGAAAGAAACCTACCCATGTGAAAGAGAAAGAAAAAGGACAAAACCAAGAGTCAAGTATCATTTGAACATAGCATTTTTGTATTTTGAGACAGGGTCTCACTCTGTAGTTCAAGCTGGGCTTGAACTCATTATGTATGGCGGGGCTGCTATAAATCATGGTAATCCTTCTGCTTCAGCATCCAGTAGTGACTGGGAGTACAAGTGTGCACCAGCAAACCCAGCTTGACCACAGTATTTTCACCTACAGCTTCAAGCTAAAGACTTATAGACAAACACTGAAGAATTAGTATGTTTTCACAGTGATTATGGATTAGCAATTTTGACACTACCTATTATATTCTAGGACTGCACAAAAATATTGAGTAAATATATTGAAGGCAACAGGAACCATATTTCTATTTTTTTAAAAAGGCAGGTTAAAAATATGGGAAGAAGAAAGAGTGAAATAAGCTCTCTGGTGTGAACTGGAATTGGTGATTTTTTAAAAATGTATTTAGTACAGGGTCTACGTCTACAGGGTTTCACTGCACAGATCAGACTCATAGTGATCCTCCCGTTTTCAGCCTCCCAAGCACTGGGATTACATGGGTGGGCCACCACACCCAGTCTCAATCGCCCTCTCAGCACACCCCGGGGGCGGGGCTGGTATGGCATAGGGATCAAACTCCAGCCCCCTAGTGCTTGCCTAAGCAGGTGCTTTAGTCTGCTGAGCTATCTGGCCCACCCTGGTTTTTTTCAATATAATTATAGGTATAGGAATTGCTACAAGATGATGTTTATGTGTAAGCACACACATCTTATTTCCTAGCTCTCTGTTGAAAGGTCCCAGAAGTTAGTCTCTGGTAACAATGTACACATCCAACATTTAGGTTGTGTTTTCCCAAACCCTCTCCACAAAAAAACAAAAACCCAGGATTTCTTGGGAAAAGAACAAACTTATTTCATATATGGTGGAAGGAACATATAGGATGAACTCAGAAAAGTTTGCTGTCCCACAAAGCAAAGGAAATGCTAACAAATGAAAGATGTCAAAAGGCCCGGGGAACAGCTAGAGTGCTCCCCAGTGGCTTAACCTAGGCAAATCTGAGGGATTAATAAATGAGAAAAGTAACAAACTGAAGCCACAAAACATATAGTAATCAGTAAGTTTATATTCATATACAAACAAATAAATGGAGATGAATTTCTTCCTTTGGTACCAGAATTAGAAATAAATGACAGATCCAAATGGGGATAAAAACTAGTGAAAAACAGGTTGCTTACATTGATTCCAAATCTCTTTCTAGAAAATACTTACGGGGAAAATAGTAACTTCAAAGTACAATAAGAAAATGATAAAGAATAACTTCACCTAAAAGAGACCAAAAAAGAAAAAAAAAAATCACAGAACTCAACAACATCTCTTTCTTGGTTTCTGCCAAAGTCATCAGGAAACACTGGACAAAACCAAGAGAAAGGACATTCTACAATGTAAATGGCCCACTGCTTCAAAAATGTGTTATGAAAGACACAGATGGAACTATTCTGGAAAGAATGACATGACAGCTATGTAAGTATGATTGAAGACGAGCTTCTAGTCTAGGGAAAAATATTTCTATTTGATATAAGGGTCATCACTGGGACACGTGCCAAAACATTAATAAAACTCATTTGTTTTTTTACTTTGACAATGATATTGTGCCTGTAGAAGAGGTTCTTGCTGGGAAGCACATGCTGACATTCTGGGGCAAGGTACATCCCATGTGTAGCTCAGTCTTGGGAAAGAACTTTTTTTTTTTAATGGAGAAAAGAAAATTAACAAAGGAAAGTTGAGAATCTGAGTGGATGGAGGTGGATATGCCTTGTGATACAACAAATTTTCTGAGTCCAATTATTTCAGTATTTTAAAACAATCACAAAAATGCAGTGCTGGCCCCGCCCTAGGGCGCTGAGACTATGATTGAGACTGGGCGTGGTGGCAGGCGACAGTAATCCCAGCTCTTGGAAGGCTGTAAACAGGTGGATCACTATGAGTCTGATCTAGTAGTGAGACCCTGGACACCCTGTAGACCCTTCCCTAAAATTAAAAAAAAAAAAAAAATGCAAGTTATAGTACAACCAGTTATTTATAACTACTCAGAAACTCATGAAATCTACTTCACACACCCTGGAACTCTCTGCTGCCTTTTCAGAACAGAATCTACAATCTGCCCTTTATGTTCCTTTGCTGCTGGTAGAGAACAAGTATTAATTCTGGTTCTCATACAGATACACAAGATATTAAGTCACAGCAACAGTAAAGGAAGTTCAACCTGTCTGCTGGCCTAGGTCCACAGCAGAGCAGTGAGATATCTAAGTGTATAGCAGCTCCCAAGTAGAAGGGTAATATGGGACTGTTCTAGAATATTTAGTGGAAGTTTGCCTGTAAGCCTACTTCTTTCATCCTAGTGAGTCAGAAAATTCTAACTGTCTGTGAGTTACCTAACACAGACTGTTACAAAAGAGGTATAGTTGGGGCTGGGGATTCTCAGTGGTAGAACATTTGCCTTGCAAGCTAGAAGCCCTGGGTTCGATCTTCAGCACCAAGACAAAACAAAACAAAACAAAACAAAAAAAACCCTCAACTAAGAACGAGGTATAGTTTTAAAAGTTGCCACCCATACTATGTCATTCACTCTTCACAAAACTGACTGCAATAAGAATGAAGTTCAATTCTAGGTCTCATGTTCCCCCATAGGGCTTACAGTGTTCATGGAAGAGTAAGGAAACAGGGATCTTGTGTGGCTATAAGAACTGGTCAAGAAGTACCCACTGTATACATACAATCATTCTATAGCACATGAGTAGGCCCCTGGTCAGAAAGGCCATCTCAACTCCTGTAAGAACTTGAGTCCCTTGGGCAAAGCCTGGACCCGACCCACCTCTAATGACAGGGTAGCATCCTAACAGCTGTGGTGGCAAACTCCTGTAAAGGAGCAGAAAGTAAAGACTCCAGCCTTTCAGGCTATATGGTATCTATCATAATTTTCACTTCTGCTATGCAAAAGCTGCCATAGATATCTTTAAGTCAATGGCACAGTTGAATCCTAACAAAAATTAACTGACAGGTGTGCTAGATTTGGCCTGTAGGTCCTGTGACACTCCTAGATTGCAACTTGCTAGCTGGTGTCTGGAGGTTTCTCTAGTGAAGACGTATCAAACCTGTTTGTTTTGTTTTGTTCTTTCTTGCATGTTCCAGGGTCAGGGGCCTATCTCCAGGAAAATAAGGATGGAAGTTTGTGTGCTGGGTCTAGGGCAGGGTGTCTAGGACATAATCCCAAAAATGTCTGATGATGTATGTATCTTGACAAATACTGAGCATGGAAGCTTATGGGCAAGAAAATGAGGTACACAGATGTCTCTGGGGCCTGCACAGATACAGAACTGGAAGTTTGGAGAGCAACAGGGCAGCTGATCTGATATATATATATATATATATATATACATATATATATATGTGCTGGGTGCAAGTTTTATGAAGGAGTCAGTAAGATGGGGTAAGGAATTAGCGTATCACCTCAGAAGAGGATAACTAATCAGTCATGAAAAACACTCAACTTGAGTTGATGAAAATAAAATATCAACAACAGCCACTGACAGATAACATATCCTATGATTAATTGCCAAATGAATTAGTGTCATTACCTACAACCAAACGTCACTTTTTAATAACTTTAAACCATAATAAATTCTATTTGTGAGTATGCAGCCTTCATAATCTTTTCTTCCTAATGAGTATTTGTTACCTGCCATAAACTTTTTAAAACAAAATACCTACAAGGGATCACATGAGGTGGAATATTGGCAGGGGAAAGAACCTGTGAAGGGTGATCTAAGGAGTGTTCCAGGTGCTGTGGTGGTTGAATATGTAGATGGTTGAGTGACCCTGGGTTTCAGGTCTGGAAAGGTGTAGAGGCTGTGATAAGGGCCAGAGGAGTCTGAGAGGAGCCTGGGATGATTTCCTTCCTTCCAGCTCAGACTACTCCCTGGTGTGAATCACCTGATGTTTAATCAACTTTGACCGCTGGCTGAAAGCTTTCCCACAAGTAGTGCAGACATAGGGTTTTAACCCTGTGTGAATCCTCTGGTGCTGGATTAGGACTGAACGTTGACTGAAGGCTTTTCCACACTCACTGCATTTGTATGGCCTCTCACCAGTGTGGATTATCTGATGTTGGATAAGGTGTGAGCTCTGGCTGAAGCCTTTACCACATTCAACACATGTGTAGGGCTTCTCCCCAGTGTGAACTTTCTGGTGGTGAATAAGATTTGAGCTTCGGTTGAAGGCTTTACCACACTGGTTACACTCATGGGGTTTCAAACCATTATGAATCCTCTGGTGCTGAATGAGGGTTGAGCTCTGGCTGAAAGTTTTTCCACACTCAGTACATTCATAGGGTTTCTCTCCAGTGTGGACTCGCTGGTGAAGGATGAGATTGGAGCTGCGACCAAAAGTCTTTCCACACTCGTGGCATTCATAGGGCTTGTCACCAGTGTGTACTCCCTGATGCTGGATTAGAGCGGAGCTGTGGCTGAAGGCTTTCCCACAGACACTACATTCATATGGCTTCTCTCCCGTGTGAATTATTTGGTGCTTCCTGAGCACTGAACTGTAACTAAAGGCTTTTCCACATATGTTGCACACATGAGGCTTTTCTCCAGTGTGAATTCTCTGGTGCTGAATAAGACTGGAACTCTGACTAAATGCTTTCCCACAGTCACTGCATTTGTAAGGTTTCTCTCCAGTGTGAACCCTATGATGCTTAATGAGGTTGGAGATTCGACTGAATGGTTTACCACAATCATTACATTCATAAGGTTTCTCTCCAGTGTGAACCCTCTGATGCTTTCTGAGGTGTGCACTCTGGCTGAAGGCCTTCCTGCACTCCCCACACTCAAAAGGCTTTTCCCCTGTGTGAATCCTGTGGTGCTTAATGAGGTTTGAGCTCCTCCGGAAGGCCTTCCCACATTTGTCACACACATATGGTTTCTCCCCAGAATGGATTCTCTGATGTTGGATAAGGTTTGAGCTCCTCCTAAAAGCCTTTCCACACTCGTCACATTCATAGGGTTTCTCTCTCATGTGAGACTTTTGGTGCTTTTTAAGGCTTGAATTCTGGCTGAAGGCTTTCCCACATTCATTACACACATAAGGCCTCTCACTGCTGTGATGAACCTGATGCCTAGCAAGGTCTGCACACCCATGGAAGGCTTTCTCACACTTACTGCACTGGTAGGCTTTCATACTCACAAGAGATGGCTGATGGTTTTTAACTGAGTTCTGACTGAAGGATTTTCCACATTCATTACACATAAAGGACTTCTCTCTAGTGTTGGCTATCTGATGCTGAATAAGGTCAAAGTTTCCTCTGAAGTTTTTTCCACACCCATTACATATGAATGGGCTTTCACTTGTGGGAATACTCTCATGGTCAGTTAGGTCCTCACTGTGCTGTGAGGCATCAAGACCACATGTATCATACAGATTCAGCCTCTTTTCCATAGGGACTCCCTGATATGCCATCAGACTTGGGTTCAGATTGAAGCTTTGGTCAAAACTATGACAATCCAGACTTTTCTCCCTTAAGGGATCCCGAAGGAGCACTGTCACTGGTGTGAAGGTCCCTTTCTGGTAGAGAGGCTGTACCTCTGGGGACCTTCCAATCCTTTTCTATTAGGTCCTGTCAGAGTTCTCCAAACTCAGGAAACTGGGAAACATCATCTGCACAGTTTTCTTACATTTCTGCCTGTGATTTCAAATCCTCAGAAACATTTTCCTCCAGACAACACTCTTTGTCTTCAGTCCTGGTATCACAATCTGAAACAATAAATACCCAGTCATAGAAGGAACTGCTGTGACAGGAATAACACAGCACACAGACAAGTCTGCAGGATCACTGGCCTCACCTTCTGGAGAGGAAGCATGGGGAACAGGGAACCCAACACAGATGGTAGTCTAGATCTTACAAAGGAACTAGAGAAGGGCTGACAGAGCTCCAAGGTAATAATACTATGCAGAAGCTGAAGAGAAAAAACAACCCATATTTCTCAGGATTCCCCATTCCAGAAATGCACCTGCAGATTGCCTGCTGAGTCAGGCCAATAGGCTGGGTGCCCCTAGTTCTTTTTCCTGTCACACTTAGAGCAATTCCTCTTGGCTCTACCTGAAAATATGCCCCAAATCCATGTACTTCTCACCCCTCCAATCCATACAAGGAAACATAATATGTTATTACATTACTACATATTTAACTCCTTTTCTTTTTCAACACTGTAAAGTATAAGCCTTTTAGGCCTATCTTGTTTTCTTTCAGTATCAGCTAATAATGTTCTGGTTTGGTCTTAAGATTCAACAATGTAAAGAGGCAGAACCTTGCTGTAGGTATAGAGAAGCCTATCTTTAGAGAAGCATAGACAATTATGAGGCATGTTGTTAACACTTCTACCGACCACTACTCAAACACACCTCACTGGAGAGCCCTGTGCTTATTACTGAATCAGTAATCAGCATGAACATGTAGAACTGCTTCCAAGTCTAGACACATTGATTCCCAGTAGTGTCCCGTGATGCCAACCTCAGATACAACCTGGCCATATGCTCAGCCCTCACAGATCCAGCCCCTTTTTCTGTTGTACCAGTTTCTCTTAATGTTTCATGCACTGATACCTGGCTCAGATAGACTGTGGTTGTACTACTAGGGTCTCAGTAGGAACAGGAGAAATTGTGAGGGGTACAGGAACAATTAAAGTCTGGACAGGAGTCCACAATCCTGTCAGCTATGGTCTGGAGCTTGCTTGTGTTCCCACTCACTCCAACTCACTAGTGTGAAAGTCTCTTGACCTCTTCTGGCTAAGCAGAAGGAACCGAATAGGGAATGATGGTCTCTATGTCCCCCCCCCCTGGCAGAACCGGGGATTGAACTCAGGCCCTTGTGCTTGCCAGGGAAGCGCTTATTCCACTGCGCCATCTCCCTAGCCCCAAGGATGGTCTCTGGCAAGTGGTTTTTTGTTATTTTAAAATATCCCTTTAAAAATCTCTAATATCAGTTTTAATTCATAGGACATATGAAACAACCTATTAGCTGAATCTGGTGACCACTCATTGAGATGTCACCAGAACGGACAAGATGTATGGCAATAGGGTAATAGCTTTCTAGCCTGAGTCACTGTTTAGATGAGTGTTTTACCAAGATAGTGGTGAAAAATTATTTCTGTAGGTAAGAATGCCAGGAGATCACTTTTGGACTTAAATGTAATTCCTTTTTTCAAACTAACATAACAAATACATTAAAAAATGGTAAAAGCTCTTCGGAAAGGAAATACAAAAGCAGAAGATCTTCCTTTAGGAAAAAATCTTCAAAATGCCAGTAAAATTTGGGTTTAAAAACAAAAGATCTGAGAGCAAACAGATGGCTGGACTACACACACTATCCTTAGACTCAGCCTTTTGAGAGCAAAGACAAGTATTTCTTTTGCAAGGAAACATTTATGATAAGAAGCTTCCAGGTACTGTATGTGGCCAGAGTCCCTCATCACAACACCATCCCTGTTGCTTTGTGTGACTATGACTAATAAGCTACTACAGGGATATAGTAGCAACCTTAATGTCTTGGTCAGGCTGTCTCCTGTGCAGACTCCAAAAGGAACTTCACACTCAATTGGATTTAGTTATCTACTTCTTGCAGTGACTTGTTTCCCTTTATAAATAAAATTCACATAATTATTCTATAGTGAACAGTTCACATCATTGTATGACCACCACTTACATTTTCTAAAATATTTCCATTGCTCCAGAGTAAAATCCCTTACAGCCAGACAAACACCAGATATGTCTTGTGCCCACAGTCTCAGCTACTTGAGAGAATTAATCAGGACTGCTTGCCTCCAGGAATTTGAGGGCAGCCTAGGCAACACAGTAAGATTCTAACTCCATATGCCTCCAAAATTCTACTCAGTAAGCAGTCTATCTCTATCTTCTCCTCACTCCAGCTCCTGGAAACCACCTACCTCTATTCTGTCCCTATGGATCTATTTTTTTTTATTTATTTTTATTTATTACATTTATTTATTGTGTGTGTGTGTGGCCAGCTGAGCCCACCAGGGGGCGGGGCTGGCTGGCATGTGGTGCTGGGGGATCGAACCGAGGTCCCTGTGCTTTGCCAAGCTTGTTTCAAGTAGGTGCTTTAGACCACTGAGCCATCTCTCCAGCCCCTGGATCTGTCTATTTTGGATATATCATATGATAGAACCATACAATATACGACCTTTTGTGTCTTGACTTTTTACTTGGGATGTTCTGAAGGTTCATCCACAATGTAGCATGTATCAGTAGTTTGTTTCTTTTTATGGCTGAATTATATTCCATGTATACTATAATCCATCCAAGAATAGTTGAATTGTTTGCATCTTTTGGTTACTGAAACAGTGTATATACACAAGTTCTCCTTGATTTATGATGGGGTTATATGCTGGTAAATCCATTTAGAAGAAACCAGTTTCACATGATCACAGTCATCTTGGTTGTCACTGCCATTCTGCCCACTAGATGAATCTGGTACATATCCCAAACCCTTGAAAATAGTCATTGGAGCATGTTGTGCTAAAGACAGCCAGTGTTTAGTGTTTCTAAACTGATGAAAAATATCTTTAAGTGTTTATTAGAAGGCCAGGTAAATTGGGTGTGGTGATGCATGCCTGTAATCCCAGCACTTGGGAGAGTGTAGTAGGAGGATTGCCATGAGTTCAAGGCCAGCCTCATTTATATAGTGAGAATCTGTCTCAAAAATACCAAACCAAGTTGAGTGTGGAGGCACATGCCTCTATTCCCAGTACTTGGGAGGCTGAGGCACATGGACTGCTGCAAATTCAAGGCCAACCTGGGCTACAAAGTGAATTCAAAGCCAGCCTTAACTGTATAGTGAAACCCTGAGAAAAAAGCCTAAGTCATTAAGTTGCCCATGCTGGCCTCAAACTTCGTGATTATACTGCCTCAGCTTCTCAGGTGCTGGTATTACAGGCATATACCCCCATGCCCAGCTCTGATCTTTTTTTTTCTTCCTATATTTAGGACAGGTCTACAGTCTCACTATGTAGATCAGACTCTTAGTGATTCTCTTGTGTTCAGCTTCCCAAGTGCTGGGATTACAGGCTCGCACCATGACTCCCAGTCTCAATCACTGTCTCAGCACACCTCGTGGGAGGGGCTGGCAAAGCATACACGGCCCCTGTGCTCTGCCTATGTGCTTTATGCTGAGCTATCAGGTTGGCCCTTGATCTTTTTGATTATAGGATTTGTTGACTTTATTTGCTTGCTAGTCATCTGTATGTTTTCTTTGAAGAAATGTTTATTCAGTGCCTTGCTCAGTTTTATATTTTATTTTTTACATTTCTGTGCATTTAGTACAGGGTCTACAGGGTCTCACTATGCAGCTTGGACTCAGTGATCCTCTTGTTTTCAACCTCCAAAGCATGCCACCACATCCAGTCTCAACTGCTGTCTTAGTGCCCCCAGGGGCGGGGCCTGCACGGAGAGGATCAAACCTGATCCCTGCTTCTGACTAAGCAGGTGCTTTAATCAGCTGAGCTATCTGGCTGGCCCAAGCCTATTTTTATTTTTTTTAATTTAAAAAAAAAATTTTCCCATAATTTTATTGAGAAACAAATAGCAATGAGACAGTTTCAAACCAAACTGGTAGGACAGTTTCAATAATTAACACATTGCATACATTCTTCCTAGTGGTTAATTGCTGTACAAGATGCGGACTTGATATCCTATTTACAAACACCAAGCCTATTTTTAAATTGGGCTTTTTTTTTTTTCCAGAACCGGGGACTGAACTCAGGCCCTTGTGCTTGCCAGGGAAGCGCTTACTCTCCTGAGCCATCTTTCCTGCCCTCCTGGGCTGTTTTTTATTGTAAGCATTCCTTATATATTTTGGTCTAGATCATTATCTGATATCCCAGAGATTTTTCCTCACTCTGTAGGATGCTTCTAGGTTCCTCTTAATGCCTTTTGATGTCTAATTTTTAATTTGATGAAATAAAATGTAACTATTTTTTTTGTTGCTATATGTATAAATCCACTGTCAGATTCAAGGTCATTAAAATGCAAACATAAAATTGTCCAGGTTGGGCTTGAACTTGCAATCCTCCTGCTTCAGTCTGTCTTAGTGGGATTACAGGTGTGTGTCACCACATCTGGTTGGATCTTGAGGGTTTTGATCCATTTTAGTTTCTTTTTATTTTATTGAGAAACAAATATCAATGAGACACTTTCCAAGCTGATTAATAGTACATTTTCAATAATTAATACATTGCACATTGTTATCTTCTCAGTGGTCATCCACAGCACAAGAAGCAGTCAGGACATCCCATCCAAAAACTACTACTACCATTTTAGTTTCTGTACATGGCATAAAATAGGGGTCCAACTTCACTATTTCGCATGACACTATCTACTTATGCCAGCATCATTTGTTAAAGGGATATCTTTCCTCATTGACTGGAAGATCCCTGAATCCTTGCTGAAAATCAATTAGCCATGGATGTTGGGGTTATCTTCAATCTCAATTCTTTTTTTTGGTGAGGGACAAGGTCTATGTAGCTCAGGTTGGCTTTGAACTTCAGATTCTTCTTCCCCAGCCCCCTGAGAACTAGAACTATAAGTGAGTGCTACTACACAGTTTAGTGTCTCAATTCTGTCTTCATGCCAGGAAAAACTCTTCAGATTACTGACATTTTGTAGGAAGTTCTGAAACTAGAATGAGCGCTCAAATTTTGTTTCTCTAGTGTTTTTTTGTTTTGTTTTGTTTTTTGTGC